TAACTCATTGGCTGCCAAAGACGTCTATAGACGTCTTTTATGTTTTTAACGCGAGTGGCTTGGGGGACGATCTGCTAAAGTTTTTCCGTAAATATGGGCTTCTAGACAGAGTATGTAGTAACAAATTGAGCCTCTAGGGGGCAGTGCCACTTTTGATGGGAGATGAGCATAGACTGTAGGCAAATAAGAAAAAGCTAACGGTTCTATGAGAGAACATGTCGCCGGTGAGACGCAAGTCCAGGAAGAACGGAATAAGGTAGAAACACATTTTTTTTCCTGATGAAAGAAGAGAGTCTACTCTTTCTTTTGGTGTGTTCGGTGTTTACATAGTCATAGCACAAACTATTCTGTGGCTCTAGAAAAATCAGTCAAAATGCTCAAAAAATAATAATCTGAATCAACAGACAACAGACTCGGCCCGTCGTGATCTGAATGAGGAATGAGGGACAACCAGTAGAAATCAGATAGATAGATAGATAGATAGATAGATAGATAGATAGATAGATAGACTAAAATCGGACAAAAAAAGACTGAAAGTAGACTCAAAAAGACCCAGAACAAAGCTAAACCAACCCAATAAAGCCAAAAGACCAAAAACCGAGCAGAAAAAACAACAAAAATAGAGACAAAGAGCGTAAAAACAGATACGGAATGACCCAGAACAAAGCTAAAGAAACCAAAACCAACCCAATTAAAGTCAAAGGACCCAAAACTGAGTTAGAAAATTAACAAAAATGGAGCCAAAGAGCATCAAAACAGACACAAAAAGACCAAGAGCAGACCTAAAAGTTAAAAAATTAAACCAAACAGACCAAAAAAGAGACAAAAAGACCAAAAACGGACAGAGAGACTGAAAATAGACAGTGAGAGACCCAGAAGTAAGCTAAACCGACCAAAACCAACCTAATAAAGCCAAAAGACCCAAAACTGAGCAGAAAAAACAACAAAAATAGAGACAAGAAGCGTAAAAACAGACCAATAGCAGATCTAAAAGACCACAAATGAAACCAGACCAAGAAAGAGACAAAAAGACCAAAAACAGACACAAAAAGACCCAGAACAAAGCTAAACTAACCAAAACCAACCTAAAAAGCCAAATAAATAAAAAATAATAGAGCCCAAAAGACCCCAAAACAGAACAAAAAGACCAAGATAAAAAGATAAAAGATAAAAAGACCTAAAAGATAGATAGATAAATATATCTGTGGTCCATTAATTGTGTTTGTTGTGGTCATTTTAGCTTCTTTGGTGTA